TACACAAATTCGGGTTATCTGACTATCGAACTGCAGGTTATATGCACATTGATGCCGGCGCCGTTCGCGCTTTAGAATTATTCTCTTTGAGTTATCATCAAGGCCAGTTTCTTTTAGCATTTAAAAGATTGAGCTAAGCTAGTGGTTGAGGTTTAAGTTGTGTTCCCTGTATGTGCAGTCTTTTACAGATGCCAAGGGAAATTCTGGAACTTTGTTCGGTTTGCTTAACAAGTGTCGAACGGCTCCTGGACAGCGCCTTTTGAGTGAGAATATTGCTTTCCCTCTTTGTACTTACATATCCCAATATTGAAGTGTTTGTACTTTTAGGAGAATGGCTAGCTCGTCCATTATGTGATATTAGGCAAATATGCGATCGACAGAATGCTGTCGAATCTCTTGTGCAAAATTCTGAGGTTCGCGTTAGTTTGTATCTGGCTTATCCTTTCCACTCCAGCGACTTCTGTTTAATGTTTTGCTTCCTAGGTACGCAGGACCTTAAGCGATATGCTTCTTCCTAAAGTTCCCGACTGTTCTGTTTTGGCCAGAAAGTTGGTTCTCAGCAAAGCCAAGTTGCAGGTGGCTATTGCACAGTGTAGGTGTTCGTAAACATGTGGCGAAGTTGTTGGGTTAAGGATTGCTATCGCGTGTATCAGTTAGCGGTTCTTTTACGACACTTTGAGCGAACCTTACGCGAGCTCTTTGATGATGAAGAGAAAAACGCACCTGCCGTCAAAGATCTAATGCTTGTAAGTTTACACGGTGTACTTTATACTTTCTTATAATCAGGCGAATTGCTTGCAGGAGCCGATTTGTTACGCTCTTTTACATTTCGACAGGTATTGCGAGTTGATTCGCAGCACAGTTGACGAGGAGTACCACGAAAAAACTGGCGATTTCCGAATTCGTCCAGATATTGACCCAGAGTTGCTACGAATTAGCGACGACATGTGTGCATTGGAGAAGAAGGCTGAAAAAGCTAAGACACATGTGCGTAAACCTATCGCCTGTATGGACCTGCGTGTGTTATTTTTAGCTGGCGTCGAAGTTGGACCTTGATTCAATCAAGCTCGATTCTAATGCTCAACTCGGATTTTTCTACAGAGTCACACTAAAGGCGAGAAAGCACTCGAATAACATATTTTAATTATATGGAAAATGATTTCATAGGAAGAGAAAAATATTCGAAAGTGCAAGTTTATCACTGTCGTGGATGTAAGCAAAGGTTCCGGTGTTCGCTTCCGCGATGGAGATTTGGCTGAAATCAATGAGCGGTGAGTGCGTATTTATTTGTTATTACATAAGTGTTGATCGCTAAGTTTTGGGTTCAATATTTTTCAGTCATCAAGTGCTGAATAACATATATCGAACTGCCCAACAAGACTTGGAGAAAAAAGTCATTGCAACCTGCGGTCAGCTTTTCCACAACTTCTTTTCAGAATTTGGGTAAATTTCGTTAATGTGGTACAACGTGTAAGGGAAATATGCATAATGTACTGCTCTGTTTGGTTGCTGTCCAGTACTGACTTCATAGTTCTTTAGCATGGTCACCAGTCATGAGATGGTCATTTCGCTATTGTTTGTAATTCCATTCACATCTCAATTCCATGATTTTCTAGTATTTTCAGCAGGGTATGCTTCCGCTCTCAGCGAGCTGAACAACACACTTGCTACGATCGACGTGCTAAC